GGGGCCGGCACCCTACCCACTGAGCAACAGACACCACCTGTCTTTTCATCTTTTTAATAGAGTCTTTCACAGAGTAAAAGTTTTTAAGTTTGATTTGGTCCAATTTCTCCTTTTTTTTTTTTTTTTTCTTATAGATGTTGCTTTTGGTGTCAGGTCTGAAAACTCTGCCTAACCCTGGAGTCTCAATATTTTATCCTCTTTATTTTTCCCCTTAAAGTTTTGTAATTAACTCCTTTTTGAGTTCTTTTTTTTTTTTTTTACAAACCAAGAAAGTAAATTTATTTAAACTACTAAAATAGTTTTTAAAGTCATTTGCAGATCAGCTGCTACAATTATTTTTCCTGAAAGATATGTAACATATTTATTACTTTTAAATTACTTGGGTCACTGAAATATTTAATAAAACCATTTATTTTTCTATATAACATGTATGTATAAAATAAGCTTTTTCAAAAACTGTTTTATAATCCTCTATAAAATAATATAATCTGACTTCTTGTAATCAGGAACAAATTACAATGAGGGGTATAAATTTATGAGTCCTAGTGGTAAGAAATTATACCACTCCTATTACCAGGTGTGGGACCCTCAAAAGGTAAATCATGAAGTTAATGACTGATTCTAAAGACAAGATTTTCATTTAAAGGTTTATGGAAATTGAGTTAATTCTTATATAAAGTATGGAGTTTAGTTAAAGTTTCATATTTTTGGCTATGCATGATCAATTGCATCTGTACCAATTGTTGAAAAGGCTCCTGTTCCAACGCTGAGTTAGTTGCTTTTGCACCTTTTGGCCGAATCATTTAGCTATATTTCTGTGGATTTATTATTTCTGGGTTGTTTATCTGTTTATGTGTCTACACTTTCATCAGTACCACACTGTCTTGGTTACTACAACTATGTAGTAAACCTTAAAATTGGGTAGAGTGATTCTTCTGTCTTTACTTTTCACTTTCAAGATATTTCTTTGTGATTTTTGTAAGACAGGTAAAAATTGGTATAAAATTTGCCAGTTGGTGTAATTCGGTATTCTTTGGAATCTTTGGCAATTGAAATATTTTGTGATTTTCTCTTACTTTATTTATTAGTAAATAAGTAATTCATATCAAAAGTATAATGCCTGATTAAGTATTATGAAATAATGTATTTTAAGAATAATTATCATCCAGCCCAACTACCAGATTACGTTTTTAGGTCTCTCACTTCATTTTATGTGTGTCTGTGCTTGCCTATCTTGGTTTTAAGTAAGTTAGTTAATTAAATAAACGTAATTTTAAAATAATCTTTTAATAATGATAAAGACAGTGTCTTGCTGTGTTGCCCAGACTACTCTGGAACTCCTGGCCTCCAGAAGGGCTCTCAGAGGGCTTGGATTATAGG